AATATTCCCCTCAGTGGTGTAATATTGGTTCCTTCAGGACCTGGAGTCCAGGGGCCAAATCTAAGGCTGCTGTGAGGAAAACGTCTAGAAACATCACTATGAATCTGAAAGGCTTTGGGCATGGAGGATGGAAGAGTGGGGATCAGAGCGGTGAGAGAGGCGTTAACTTTAGAGGGTCGAAGTCCAGGGTATTACAAACTGGAGGTTACAGCAGTTCCAAATCAGGGTTGGCAGAGTGTGGCCCGGGGACAAATTCAGTCAACCTGGGAAGACTCTGGTTGGAAGGTGCCAGTCTTCAGTCTCTTTCAACGTCAGGCTTTGAGTTTGCCATTCCTCTACTTGGGGCATGCCTGAATTACTTGAACATCTTTCTTGGTCTCTCCCCTGACTCTCCACGAGCTTCAGTTATCTACAAAATGACACCATGGGGACGCTGTATCTCCCGAGAGTAAAAGCACTGCCCTTGGGCCTCGCTTGTACCTAGAGTGTCTGGAAGCGGGCCCCCCACACAGTTTGATCCCTCGTATTTTCTGAATGAATGTGGAGGGGGTGTGTGTGTGAATCTTAATGGGCATGGCAAGGAAAATGGCCATGGGGAAGCCAGGGGGTTCTAAGCTAGAAGTAGAGTAGCTCTCACTGCCCAAGACTTTTTTCCCAGGATCCTTGCTGTGGTCATGGTAGCCCTCATCTGATCAGATGCCTCCACTCAAAAATGTCAGGAGTTGGCCTGGTGAGTGAAGCGCCATCAGCTGTTCACTGCATTTGTCTGGTAGAACTTGGATGTGAGGGGGACTTGGTAAACCGGGAGGAACTCTTCTTGGGTCATTGGTTTGTTGACCAATTATCCAGCCTTTTATTGTGATCACACAGAAATTGAGGCCCAGAGAGGTGAGGTGTCTTGCCCAAGGTCACACAACTGTAGCGTGGACATCAAGACCTTCTGACACTAGAGTGATGTCTTCTCCTGCATTTGCTGACCGAGTGCATGTTACCCTGGAGCCGGTGTAGAGAAGAATCCTGGGGTTTCACATCTTGGCTCTGAACAATCCCACTTCTTTACCCAGTGCCCTCCCCAACTCCCAAGGTCTGGTCTTATTCTAAACCTTCCATTTGCTCACAGGGCAGCTAAGGCCTTGAGAGGGGAGTGGCTTGAACATGAGTGAGGCACAGTAACTGGCTTTCACAGATGCCCCTCTACCTTGATCCTGTAGACTCACCTTTCCCCTTCAGTCTCTAGATACCATCTCTACTTGTTTATCCAGAGGACAGAAGTGGCTGGTTACACTATCCACAAAAGATCTCTGTTCCCCGAAAACTTTCCAAACGTGAAAACTAGACTAAGGCAAGTCCTGGGGCCTGTGTTCACTGGCAAGGCCCCGTGACCTGGCCTCTTGCGAGTTCCCCAGCCTAAGGCTTCTTAACTCCTCGAGCATTTTCTAGATGCTTTATAGAGTACCAGGTCTTTGGAGTGCAAGCATTGTGCAAGGGCCTTGCAACCACCTGGGGTTCATTTAGGCCAGGCCAGACCCTCACTACCTCATGTCTTGATGTCTTTGGTGACCTCCATTTTTTTTCCATTCTCCAGTCAATTCTACCTAACTCTCTGTATTCAAAATCAAACCCAAAGCTGCTGAATTAATTCAGACTCACAGCAAGTCTATTGAACAGAGGAGAAAGGCCCCATAGGTTTTCCAAGACTGTAATCTTTATGGGAACAAAGTGCACATCTTTCTCTTATAGAGAGGCTGGTGGGCTTGAACCACCCACCCTTTGTTGTAGCTGTTGTTGTTTTGTGCTATTGAGTCAGTGCTGACCATAGCTGATGTTCCAGCAGGTTTTCAGAAGCTACAAATCTCATGAGAAGAGATTCCCCATCTTTTTCCCTTGGAGCAGCTGGGGGATTCAAACCCTGTGTCTTTGGGTTCACATCATACCATTAGGCCACCAGCTCTCCCTCACCTTTTGATTAGCAGTCAAATACTTGAACCACCGCATCTCAAGGTCTCTGCTCCAGGTCAATCATCTTTAAAAAGTGAGCTTTGGTAGTTATGTCTCTGGCCAACAATTTCTCCTGACTCCCCATGGCCCCATGGTCTACTCATCACAACTGAATGCTGACCTGACTATCAAGACCCTCCACAACCTTCCCCTTTTTTCTACCTTTCCTTTTTTTTGCTGCCCCGTAACCAGAGGGCCTTATCACTTTTTTATCTTTATACTTGCAGTGCCCCCAGACCAGAATTCCCTCCCTTCTTCACCCAAGGATTCAAATCTCCTTCTCCAGCATCTAGCTCCCATCTCATCTCTTCCATGCAGCCTCAGGGACATGTGGATTTACAGATCTAGATCCAGTGCACCCTTGTCTAGATAAACATACGGAGGCCCAGAGAAGATAACTGATTTGCTCAAAAGTCAAGTGACTATAGAGATGGAAATTCAAAGTCTCCTCTCTCCTCAGTAAATTGTCCTTGCACCCTCCCTTGCTGAAAAGGACATGTTATCCAGGAGAGAGTTTTGTGATGAAAAGTAGGGTATCCTTAAGTCAATATGATCGCCAGCTATAGTTATAGTCAAAATCACATGATTAAGCCCTTAATTATAAACTGTTATATATAGTTATTTAATTGTTCCCTACATAGATTGTAAGCTCCTTGAGGGCAGGGAAAATTTCCTGTGCCATTCAATTGTGTTGTCTCTGGAATCCCTAAGATAGTACTCAATAGAAAACTCAATTCATTGCCATCAAGTGGGCACTGACTCAGAGCTGACCCTCTAGCAAGTTTTCCTGGGCTGTAAATCATACGAGGGAGGATTTCCCATCTTTTTCCTGAAGAGCAGCTGGTAGATTCAGATTAGTTGCCTTTTGGTTGACAGCACAATTCTTTACCCATTTGGCCACTAGAGTTCCCTAACACAGTGCTAGGCACAAGAAGATATTGCATGGTGGGATCCGATCAGAGCCCTCTTCAAGGAGAATAAGCTCCAATTTGGCAGCACACAGACCTACACTGAAGCCAATGGGACTCTGTTCAGATGGAATTCCAATTTCCAAGTTCTCATGTGGACGGAAGGTGGGGTCAAGGTTGCCGTGATAATCATGGCTGTGGCAAAGATCCAACGGGACGAAGAAGGGTTTTCAAGCCTGGTAACAGTCCTCACTTCCTCACCTGGCCTCCAACATCATAGAACTGCAGGTCAGGCCTTTGCTGGGCTCACAGGCCACTGCTGTCTGAAGGCCACCTCCGAGGCAGTGATCACATTCCCCCACCCACGGCAGAGAGGAGCTCTGGTGGCACTGTGGTAGGAATCTGTGCTGCAATCCTGAAGGCATGTGGTTTGAATCCACCAGCTGCTCTGTGGGAGAAGGATGGGCAATCTCCTCACACGCAATCACTGCCACTGAAAACTTGATGGAGGGTCAGTTATGGTTCATTTCTGACTCGATGGCACACAACAACAGCATCCACCGATGGCAGAGATGAGAGGTGTTTTTGACATGCCCTTGGCATAGTGGAGTCGGGAGGTGTCTTTGACATCGCAGAGTTGGGAGGTGTCTGAGCATTATCCCTCCCACGACATTGGCGTTGTGATCTGATGTTCTGTGGAGCCATTGTCAGGTTCTAATTTTATGAGACTCCCATGTGTGGGGGAACCTTATGGACTGAAGTACTAGCTTCCAACTCCCAGAAATCACAGCATGTGGGCTGGTCAAGGTGCTTTACGATGAACCAGAGAAATTTACCTTGGCCGTGGCAGTCATATTTTTTTCCCTTCTTTCTCCCTTTGTAGTCAAACTTAAAAGCGCGTCTTTGGCAAGGCCCTAAGATTTACCGATTGGAGCGGTGTTGTGCGCCGAGGGCATGCGGTTAGAGTTCACCAGTAGAAAGGTTGCCCTTGCTCGGCTTCCAAGAGGTCCAGAGCCCTCTGTGATTGGTGGCCTCTGCTCAGCACATAGTCTGAAGGGCTCTATCGCTCAATGAGGACCTTTTTGGGCTGCACACTCCTCTCATCTGGGGCCTCAGGCATCAGGGGTTGTAACAATACCGGCACAGGCTTCCCAGTGGGTGGAGGCTGGAAGGGGTCACTCGGTGAAAGGAACTGGCTGATGACACCCACTCACCCACTCAGTCTCCTGCCACCCTGAGGGTTGTACTCTCACACTGGCATTTACTTTTCCTACACAATCTTCTCTTCCCTACCATTGGGAAGGTGTGAGAGAGTGCACAGGATGACTTTATTTCCTATTTTCCTGAAGAGAAATCTAAGGTTCAGGGAGGGGTGTGACTCACACAGAGTCACGTGAGTCACTCGCAGCATTGCAGTTAGTGGCCAGGCGTCCACAGCAACTCTCGCTTCACAGGCCTGGCTGCGGAAGGGCCACGGCCAAGCAGGCTGGACCAGACACTGGAAAGCTCTGGGAAGTGGAGTAAATTCTCTCTGGAGGCTGAGGAGGGCTGCTCAGAGGTGCTGTGGAGGAGGCGTGACTGGGGAGGCCTGCCTCACCTCTTAGGAGAGAATGGTGCTAGGAGATGGCTCTGGCATATGGAGCAATTAGCCATCAATGAGGACAGACCGGCAGCGTGGCATTCCAGGGCCCTGTTGCCCAGATAATTCTCAATTATAGGGTACAATTATCTGCAGAGGTGGTGTGGGGCAGCTGCCTGCACATGCCACTTGAGGCTTTGGGGGAGATATTCTCCTGGGCTCCAGTTCCTCCCTTTGGGACCCCTCACTAATGTATATATTCATGCACCCAGCTCAAAAATGCCATCCTGGTCTGTGGAACTCATTTCTGTCATGGGACCAACCACATTGGATGTCAGCATTTTCTCTAGGTCATCCATGCCTGCTCAGTTACAAGAAACACCACCCTTTGACCTTGGCCCCTGAGACTCATATGAGGACAGATTAAGTTTCTGACTATCCATGAATGTATCAAACACTCAGTTCCATCCCAAGAATTCACCTCAACTTTAACTAGAGGGATAGGAAGTTCTTACCTCGAGTTTGGTTTTCTTTGGAAAGGAGAGAAATGGTCTTCCCCTCTTGACGATAGACGAAGAACTGGTAGCGATGGAAGCCAGTGTGTGGTGGGGGGGTGGGAGGACTGTAGGCTGTGGGTATAAAAAAAAGTAAGAGTGAGGGGCATTACAGACACTGCTTCTTACTTGCACGTCCGCATGGCTGCTCTGGACAGGGGGAAATTGTAGATTCATCTTCCCATGGTTCCTCTGACCCTTTTGGAGCTCACTCATGCAAACAACCAGGGTGTGTATTTGGCAGGATCACATCTTCAGTATTTTCACTTAAGAAGTACTTAAGACTTTTTGGGGGTGCGGGTGGAGTCAAATAGTCCAATGCTCTGGGCTAACTCAACAGTCTTTGGAGTTTGTGGGGCTCCTGGGCCTTCCTGGGTGAGTGGGTGTTGGTATTGTCCCCCTTTTGCTTTTGTCTATCTTGATGGTTTTCCTGCCTCAAGAGAAACCCATCTTCCTCTGTGTGTCTGTGTGAGTGTGTTGGCAGGGTATTTTTATTTATTTTTTCAGCATTTCCTTATAAACTCAATCCACAAAGAAGCCAATTTCTTGGCTGGATCCAGAGGATCTGGAAGTGGTTACGGGGGTGGGTGGGACTTGGTTCAAAGGTTTGATCATGGAGGCTGGAGGATCTGGGTGCTTGGGGCAACGAGGAGCCCACTCAGGCTCTTCCGGAGGAGAAGGATGATTTCCTTCCCTTTGCTGTCCCTCCAGAAGGCCGTTCTTGTCTGGGGGAAATGGAGGGTGGGGACATCTTTCATTTATCCTCCCACAATTATGCAGGACCCCTGGGTTTTGCTGGTTCTGGACTTGTCTGGAAAGATGAGTTTCTTTCCAAGAATATTGTGGTACTTTTCACTCCTCTTGTCCTCTCTGCATCTTCCTTTCCAAGAAGGAGTCAGGCTGGAGCTTCCTGGGGGAGCATGGAGCCTGAGCCCTTGCATTGAGAATGCTAGGAGGAGGGACTGTGGTACTTTATGACCACTCCTTTTCTCTGGATAGTCAACAAATGAGCATCTTGAGGTTTGGAGCTGTTGGAAGAGTTCCTCATTGTCGACTTCTGGCCAGGAGGGCCTCAACGTGCCAACAGCCAGGGGAATTCCTGACTATTCATCCTCTCCTTAGCTTCTGGAGTGTAGATATTGGTGCACACTCAGAATGAGAACAGTGCAGGGTGTGCTAGGGGCTTTGGGAATCTGTGGCTTGTATTTGTACTTTTAGAATTTTGAGACTGGGTGGGCGCATGGTTGGAAGGACTCTGAGGCTGTTTTTTGAGGGTCTCTGTTAGTATGTAAGAGCATGTAAATCAGAATCTCTTTCACAAACATTACGAGCACTGAGGTTTGGAGCATAAGTGGATAACAGAGCATCTCTGTGCCTGCAAAAGAGAGTGAAGGGCAGATGGAACCAGGCCAGTTTTCCACAGGGCAAGGGCTGTATGGGTTGGTGAGAGCTCTTGAGGGTGGGCACATTTCATGTTCCCCACAGATTGTTGTGGATAGGTCTGAAGTTAGAACTCACTGTTTCTATACAAGTCAGACTGTCCCCGGTGAGGTGGAAACTTAACCTCCATCACTGTGCTTTCACGTGGTGTGAGGTGTTCTCCCTCCGAAAGTGGGGATGCGAGGGATGAGGAGGAAGGGAAGACACACACACATGCTGAGCAACTCCTCTGGGCCAGTAACTGGGCTAAGTCCTATTACCGCTGACATCTCATTAATTCTCACCACAGCCTGATAAAGTGGGTATTATCTCTATTTTATGGATGCGGAAACTGAGACTCTTAGAGGTTAACTCAGGCAGATGGGCACGGCTAGATCTGGGATTTGAAACTATGCCTCTCTGGTGCCAAAGCCCATGAGTTCTGTTGTTGGCTCAATCCTTTCCCAGAAGGGCCAGCTCACCACTCAAGTGTTCCCTTCAAGCTGAGTTGAGGGTAAACTCTGGGGTAGGCAATTGAGAGATGGTCAGAGACGACTGGCAGAGAGGTTGGGGTGGGAAGAGAAGGGTGACAGACGAGGTAGGTCTGTGCAGCCACGCTATGAGTCTGTGGGCAGAGAGAGGAAGTGATGCCCACAGTGTTGTCCAGCCATGTAACCACATCACCCTGTGGCTACGAGCCTGGCTGCAGTCAGACCTTGCATTTTGATGCAGGCTCCATCCCTCAATACCTGTGTGACAGGAGGTGGGTCAGCCTATGCCTCAGTCTCCTCCCCTTCCCGCGAGACACTGATTGCTGCCACCTTCAAAGTTCCTTGTGAAGATTCAATCAGATAACACAAATATGTTCTTGGATCAGTGCTACACTGGTGGTGATCAGAAAAGCTTGCATATCATTTTCAGTATTCCTTGGTATTACCCAATAAAGGTGACAAATAATTATTAAATAATATTGTTACAATTCTTTTGATTATCACCATTGCTCTGATTGGGGCGCACTTAACGGCAGCATTTAATGAGAGAGGGGTGTTAGAGGGTCTCACTCACATGTTAGCACCTTGCCTTGAATCTTCCCTTTCTTCAAGTTACTACCCTGAAATAAGAGACAGACAAGGACATGAGTTACTTTTGGGGTAACAGAAGTCCTGAACCATGATACTCAAGTCCAAGTAGTTTCTGATGAGCTGTGTTGCTGGTTGAAGAAGAGGGGTGGGCAACAAGGAAGATATATGGGTAATGCTGCGGGACATATTAAAACAGGGCTGTGGGTTTTCATTCAGTATGGATGTCTCCGGGTGGCACAGATAGCCTGTGGCTGGCTGGAGGTGGAGGATAGATGGCCCAAGCTCTGGAGAGTCCTGAGAGAGCACTTCCTAAAGGGCCTCTCTGTGTGTATGCCATCTGTGTCCTGAATCTCAGCCTCAACGCCCGCTCAGAAGGCAGAGAAGTGCTGACAATTCTCAGCGCTGCTCACTGCTCGGCCAGCCCACCCTCTTGCGAGGATGCCGCTTGCCTTGGTGCCTCCAGCTTCTCAGGCCAGTGGCTATTAGAGCCACCAGAAGGGAAAGGATGGGAGGGAGGAGGTGCTTCGTATTCCTGTGGTGGCTTCTTTCCCAGCCTCCAGTTGACTCAGCCCACAGCCCCTAGGCAGATTCTTTGGCTCCAGGTACAACCTCAGTTTCTCGCCTCTCCCTTCTCCCCTCTGCTCAGTGTCTGTGGGATAATGAGGCGATCCTGGGGGCGGGTGCTAATTATTGTTTGTGCAGGACTGGGAGATGCTCAGATGAAAGGAACTGGAGCCGGGCTCCAGGGTGCCACAGCTCAGGACCCTGGGCCAGGCCAGGGAGCCCTGCGGCCTCTTAATGTGGGATTTTATAGCTTTAATAATGGTGATTAAGGTGGTTCTTAATTGATTCTGCCAGCACCTAACTGTGCCCTGGCCACCTTTCTACCAAGCCCTTCCTTGCTTATTCCTTGGCCCTGCCTCTTGCAGAGGGGCTGGTTGGCCAGTGCTCAAGGTGGGAGGAGGAGCAAGAATGGAAAGAGGCCTGGTTTGAGTGGTTATGAGAAAGTGGAGGTGGTGCGGTGAGATAGCACCTCAGTTCTCTGTGGAGAATCTCTAGGTTACTGGGCAACCCAGTCCTTGGCTTATGGTTTACTTTTAGTAGAACTAAAGCTCTGTGGTCTCATGCCAGAATCCTTCCTGATATCCTTTTTAGACTAGTAGTAAGTTATCTTCCTACTGTTTGCACTTGGCGTCTCTGGTGTCAACCACCCTTCTCTTATTCCCATCAGTATAGATTACCCATGGAGTCCTTGCAGGATACATATGGTTAACATGCAAAGCTGCTAACCAGAAGGTTGGAGGTTCACAACTACCCAGAAGCCCCTCGCAAGAAAGGCCTGGCGACCTCCTTTTGAAACATCAGCCACTGAAATCCCAATGGAACACTGTTCTACTTTGGCATGTATGTGGTTGCTGTGAATCTGAATCAATGTGTTTAGGTTATGGTGGTTAAGAGAAGGGGCAGTAGACTGTGGAGGGATGGATGCTATACAGGGCAGCATGAGCCCCGTCACACTTTGTTTTTTCACTCCCACATAGGTATCTTTCCACCCTTTCAAGAAGTCTCTGAGGAACATCCAGGTGCCTTTAAATTCACTCCGATGAGCAGCACATGTCACACATGTCAAGTCCTGCCTCGCTCCTCTTGGCACAGCCCCCTGCTACCCTGTGCATTTTCCACAGCTGACCTCAGGTGAGGCCTCAGGCTGAGATGCAGGAGCACCAAGACACAGATAAGCCGGAGAATGGAGGTGAAAGGAGCCCACTTCACCCCACCTCCTCTTTTCAAAGCCCACTTCTACTTGATGTCCATTTCTTCTAGCACAGCAGGCATAGACCTTAGGACTAGCAATCACTCTCCTAAAATAGCCCCTTCTGGGAGCCCCAGTGAAGACTAGGAGATCTGGGGGTTGAGCTGAGGAACACGGGCCTTGTCTACCCTGCTCTGTGCTCCCTGCCTCCCTCCCCCTCATTTCTTTCCACGTCCGCCCAGACAGCGGTTTGTTTAAACCAAACAATAGCAACTCAAGTTGGCTGCCGTTTTCCTCAGTTCCCCACAGACTTGGGTCCCACCCAGAGTGATAAACAGCCCTCTCTCTTGTGTTGTGTGGATGCAGGGATGGGGTGAGGTGGGAGCCTGGGGCCTGTAGGGTCAGGGAGTTCGTTTGTGTAGAGTGGAAAGTCTGATTTGTCCCATTGCTCAGGGTGGAAAGGTTTTCCTCCTGCTCCTGCTCACCCTGGGGAGGCTTTTCTCATCAACTGGGGCCAACTTGGCAAAGATATGCACAAACTCTTGAGTTGGATTTATTGACTAAAATCACCAAGCCCTTCCGGTTTGCCTTCCCCAGCCCAGCGAGTGTTGGAGTTTAGAATACTCAGGGCTCTATCTCAGGGGCAGGGATGGTCCAGTGGCAAAATCTTTGCTGTGAGGGAGAGCTGGGTTAGATTCCAAGCCAATGGACCTCAAGTGTACCCACCATTGTTTGACAAGGCTTGCATGTTGCTGTGATACAAAATAACCTTGAGTGGAGTTTCCAGAGGAAGACAGACCAGGAAAAAAGGCCTGGTGATCTTCTGAAAATCAAGCCTGTAAAAAAATCTTGTGGTCACAACCAGGTCGCCTTTTGCTCCAGTGTGAAGGGGGCCACCAGGAGCAACGGAAGCTAACCATGGGCTGTGTCAGGAGGTGGCTCAGTGTCCCTACTGGAAAGGAGTGTAAGGAAGGCAGGCCGAGGAATGCTCTGGTGGCAGAGGGGTCCTCACAACGCCCTAAGGGTTCCAGGTTGGTATTACTTCAGGTGGCTGTTATTTACTTGAGACGGGCTGAGGATATCCCCCTCCTCAGTCAGCCTGAGGGGCTGACCTTTACACCATTTAGACAAACATCTAGTAGTCACTTTAGAAAGGTACATTCAGGAGGCAAGGAAGCGGAGCCTCAGAGAGATCAAGGTGCCTGTGCAGGGCAGCCAGGCAATGAGATAGAAGCTGGCGTTCAAGGAACAAGGTGGTTCAAGGTCTCACAGCTAGGGTGTCACTCCTTTGACTCACAGAGCGACCCTGGGTGCTTCCTAGGACCTGGTGACAACCCAACACTCCTCTGTTTTTAGAAGACTGTTATCACAACACACAGTATTACGTGGAGGGCTCTGTCTGCTGTGGAAAGGGTCACCCCACCTTCCTCCTATATGGACACATCAACTCTCCTAAAATATCTTCGTGGGTTAAATAGACTATTGTCACCTTAGAAAACTGGAACTCTCAGGGGATAGATAAGAATCAAGAAACTTTAAGAAGGGGGATAGGAACCCAAGGAAAATCTGTGGCTTCACATGCTGGGCAGGGAGACTGGGCTGAGCGATGCCCCGAGGGTGGGGCGTGGTGTGGACATTTGAGGACACAGCACAGGGGTCAGGCTTGAGCAGAGAAGAGGTTTGGAAGGAGCACCTGCTGGAGCCACCCCCACCTCCCGGTGACCCCACTGCCACCATCTGCCTGCCTTATCCCCACAGCCCACAGGTGTGCTGGCTCCCCTCTGAGGCCCTATCACAGACAAAACTTCCTTCCCTTTACTATACGACAGGCTGACATTTTCAAAAGGAACTTGTCTAAATGCTAAGGTTAAAAAAAGAAATTAATTTCAGAAATGACAAATAGCGCAGAAATAGTCAGGTCCCCAAGAACACAGAAAAGCTCAGGCTTTCCAGAGAACAGGATGCCAGGCTATGGGTACCCAAGGTGTTGGGAGGTGCCTGGGAGAGCCTTCTGCACACAGTAGAGATCCTTCCAGTCAGGGACTGGATGGCCTTGGGATGGACATTCTTTTCCTTTTCAGTGTCCTTGAATAATCATCACTTGTCTACCAAAGGGGAAAGAGAAGGAGTTGGAAATTGCTCAATCACCCAGACTCATTATAACCCTCCTCAGACACATTATTGTTGTTGTTGTTTACCATCAAGTCAGAACCAACCCATAGCAGACCCTCCGGCAGGTTTTCAGAGGTAGTTAATTGCAGGGGAGGAGATTGCCCATCCTTCTCCTGCAGAGCAGCTGGTGGTGGCCTCGAACCGCGTGCCTTCGGGATTGCAGTGCAGCTTCTTGTCACTAGGCCACCAGAGCTCCAGACACATAGTGACCCACCCACCCCATAAGTCTTCTTAGGCTAAAACTCATTATGGGAGGAGACAACTCATTTTTCTCCCTTGGATCACATGCTAGATTTGAACTGTTCATCTTCTGTTTAGCAGCCCAACATGTATGCTCTATGTCATCAGGGCTCCTAAAACGTCCAGGCTTTAAGAACAAACCAGTTGTTGTCAAGTTACTTCCAACTCACAGCAACCTTACGTGTGTTGGAGTAGAACTGTACTCACGCTGCGGCTGGTCTTTTTGAAGTAAATTGCCAGAATCTTTCTCCCCAAAATGCTGCAGAGTGGACTCGAACCTCTAACCTTTTGGTTGGCAGGCCACTATGTTAATTATTGGCACCACCAAGGACACTACAAGAAAAACATGTCTCCTTTTTCTTCAAAGTTGGTCTTTCGATATGGGTGTGTGTGTGTGTATGTTTAGGGTTCCAGATAAGTGAATGACCACAGAAAATAGGAATAACTTAATCTAACAAGGAATAATTTATTTTAATCACAAAGTATGGGCAACAATTCTGAAGCATTTTTTGTCTCTAGAACATGAGATTCCCCACAACTCCTGCCCTGCTTTGCTTCCACCTCAGAGTTTACTATTAATATTTCTTTGTCAATCTAGCTTGAAAGTGGTATGTGAGATACTTAAGAAAAGTTGGGGTTAGAGTGCAAGCCATGGTAACCTCCTTCTTGGACCAAGGTGATGCTGTCTTACCAGACTAGTTCTGATTGATTTGTCTCAGGTTAAATAAAGAACATAGCTCTGGAAGCTGAGGAAGATCTGCTGCCATTACTATTATTCAGATAGCTAAGTGCTTCCTTGCTAATTGATAGATTAGTGGTTCAAATGCACCCAGGGTACTTTGAAAGAAAGGCCTGGCACTCGGC